CTACAGTTACTGCTACTAAAACTACTACTACTACTACTACTACTACTACTACTACTACTACTGCTACTGCTACTGCTACTATAACTACTACTACTACTACTACTACTACTACTACTACTACTACTAGCACTAGTACTAGTCTAGTACTAGTCTAGTACTACTACTACTACTACTACTACCACTACTACTACTACTACTACTACTACTACTACTACTATTACTACTATTACTGCTACTGCTACTGCTACTGCTACTACTACTACTACTACTACTACTACTACGACGTGGAACCTGTTGACTACCATGTCTGATAGTAAGTAAGGTCCAAGGCTTGGGCCCAGGCTTTCAGGTTTTCCACAAAACTTAGACTCCTGATAACCCTGAATTTTAAACCCGAAACTTACTCCTATGTTTGTGGCGCGGGCCGATGGACCTTCAACACCGAGCTCGAAACGGCTTCAAAACCCCTGCCTCCTTCAGGGGAAGCTGTTCTTCTCCTGAAGGACACCAGCTTTAGGGCTTTCAGGGTTTAAACGTTCAAGGGCATACGAGCTTATGAGCTCAGGGGTTTAGGGTTTCAAAAGTTTCGGGTTTGGTCTCGGGTCATCGGTGGCTGCCAGACCCAGTGCCAAGGGGACCTGATTCCAAGAAACTCCAAACCCAACTCCAAGCCCTTCAGTTTCATAAGAAGCGTTTCTATAACCCTTACAGAACCCAAACCTTTACCCCACAACCCCAAACCTGAAACCTTCCGCCCAAACCCTCAACTAAAATCGCACAGCAACCCCATGTAGCTTTCATATCAACCCCCAGGAGTGACCTTTATAGTAAATAACCCTTACTAGCACTCGGTTTAAGTCGCACCAACCGCTGCAGCACACGGCATGGCATGGGAGTGAAGCCACTCCAGGCGGGGTGATGTGAGCCCAACAACAGTTACACTTCAGCCATTCCACAACGTATTTTTTGGAGTGTTCGCAGCTTGCACCCAAACTGCTGCGCGCGGCGGGTTGAGAAGCCTCAGTAGTGGCAAGAATACACATGACGATATGCTACACGCTGATTGTTAGTCTCCAAGTCGCTCCAGTCAATTTGCAAGATGCCTTTGCGGATGCTGGGGTTTCCAGCGCTCTTCTTCGCAGTTTCGAAAACGCGTCGGCACCAAGTCTCCACGTAGACGCTGTTTTTCTAGTCTCGGGAGTCGAAGCCCCTGGACACACATCCAGAGTTGCGATCGTGGGGCCACAACGCCTCATCGTGTGGACTGATCTTTGACATAGAGCTACACCCACCACTCGCAAAAACCCCGATCTTGGGGCAAGAACCCACCCTAAACTACTGCATTTCTGGAAAAGAAACTATCCCACGTAAGAAACACATCAGTGGCATCGGCGCAAACAGCAAATCACAACCTGCCATTCCCCGTGTAAACGCTCGAGTTTTCAAACACCCGGTCAAGAAACACATCAGGGCATTGCAGCAAACAGCAAGTCAAAAAAAACCAGCCAGCCATTCGCGTTGTAGACGCTGGATTTCGCAAGCACCAGCTCGAGACACCAGTGGCATCACAACACATGCAAACCCACGGAAAGACCGCGCACAGTACTGGATGGTGCAGAACTTGAAGACAGCATGAGAAACATGGTTCGATACAGGGTTTTGAAACCTTGGAAACAAGTTCAAACCCTGCGGCACATGGGGTTGGGACGACTTCGCCCAGGCAGGGACGACTCAAACCTACCGCTAGCCGCAAGTACACAGCAGGAACCCTTATAGCTGCCCTTGTAGCAAGTAAGCCTTGGTATGAACCCCTGAGACCTTCACCCGAATATAGGGGTCTTAATAATTAGAATAGGGTTTTGGGGCCCATTATACTATAATTGTAATAAGGAACCCCCAAAATATCATAGGTAATTATGAAGTTAAGGTCCCTATAATATTAAAATTCCAAACCCTCATCGCGCACTGTGCCCCTCAAGCCGGCCTGGAGGCAGGCACCGGGCAAACCGTCGACTCGCCTCCTAGATGGATGGTTTCCGAAAACAGACCCTAGTTTCTCTTTGGATTTAAGTTCTTTGGACTTCGAGGTGCTGGAATCTGTCGGTGAAGACGTTGTTGTGTTGCCCTTCTTTTCGGCATAGATGATCATGCCCTTGACTTTCCGTATTTTTTCGTGCTTTACCGTACTGTTTTTCTGGGCTCATGTCTGCCATTCTACATTGCTAAATGCTTTTTCGTTTTCGCTACTGGCCATCACAACCTGATTAAGCTTTGAGGTCTCTTGGCTTTCGGGAATTGGCAGCCCAAGGCTGCAATTTCAAGCGATATGCGATAGGGTTTAGGGTTTAGGGTTCAGGGTTTAGGGTTATGCTGAATACTTGTATGTTACATACTATGACGTATCACAATAACAGATCAAACACTTAAAACAATGACTGGAGTGGTATGATGCGATAGGGCCCGGTCAAATGTAACATGATGATCATGCAATATGACCAGAAAGTTTACCGCACTGCAGCATGATGTATATATGATGACAACGGAATAATAGAAGGCACCATGGCACAATGATGTGCAATACAAGTTTGCCACACTGCTTTGCATGTACATATAAATCCTGTCTTTTATGGTCTTAAAGAAACCTCTTGCAAGTACTGCTGCAGCTGCGTCCCCTGTTTCCAAAACTGCAGGACCGAAAATTGCCCCACACGTTTCGTAGAGGGCCAGTATAGGCGGGTCCGATTCGTGTTGAAACCCTGTAAGCTATAAAGTCTCTATATAAATCCACTGCACAAGACCCCCAAGAACCCTTTTCTCAAAAAAACCAGGCCCCTGTATTCGCCGAGCAGCTTCCAGCAGTTTGTCGACATTGTAGACAGACATGGGAGGCTCTGACAAATGCAAAAGGCTGTGCAAGATGCTTCTTTCTGGTCTGGTCTGGTGCTTAGCTGCTTGCAAAACCCAGCATGCTATTCTCAGTCTCTTTAGCCTTCGGCTGGCGCGGGGCTGTGGCTGCCGTCTGTCTGGTGGGCTCCAGGCTTGTGACCCAATCATAGCATGAAGTCTCTGAGTCCAGCGGCACAGGGCACAGACTGAAAGTCACGATATGTCACGATGCAGGGTGGCTGCACGCTGCATCAGAAGAGACACGGAAAGAAAGTCTGAGCCCGGCGCGGGACGACGAAGCAAAGGTCGGCAGGGTCTCTTTTCGTCTCCGCAAGCGCTCGCTAAGACGTTAATCGACGGGACCCGTGTCCATAGCTTTGATGGAGGGCTCCCATGGCAGAGGCACACCATGCCAGCCAACTGGTGCTGTATCTTAGAAGCCTTGGCTCCAGGACGTCCGAGACGTCGCAGACGCGCATGGTGTGCACTCCGGGTTCGTTAACAAAGCTCCTCTGAGAGTCGACCACTCACGGTAAAAACTACCATATCTTCAGGTACAGCGCGGCCAACATGTTTGGGTGGGTTTTCTTCAACTTCAGGTTTGCCTGATGCAGGAATTCGTTCTAGGAAGGCTCCTGCATTTCCGGATCTGTTTTAGTATGGCTCCTTATCAGCCTTATCATTACTTTCTGAAATTCTGGATGCTGAGGAAGTCGGCTGGGGACTCGAGAAGCTTGGCTTACAAACCTGACCCTTTCGTGAAGCTTCATCTACAACAGCTATACACACAGAATCTCGAAACTACCGCATCCTGGTTCCTAAGACTGCCAAGCCCAAGCCGAAGCCTGGAATGCCACACTCCGGCCGGACCCCACCCGCGAAGCCGTAAACTCCAACCTTCGATCGCAGCGTCAACCCCTTTCACACCAAAGGCTGGTACTCTCAGAGAAAACCCCTGTGACGGCGGCGACGACGCTGCGGCGGTGTTGGAAGGAAGGGGAAGCACAAGGCAGCCTGACGTCACAGGCTGAGGGTCTCCAAATAAGCTGCTGGGAGGTCACCATTAGTTCAAGAAAAATAGTGCAGCAGTCGTCGTCCTCGTCGCTGTCGTCGTACAAACCCTATGAACCACTACCACTTCTCCCACGACGCTGTCGTGTCGCTACGGACACCGGACAGTCGGGACCGGCGCTATCACTACATAGCCGCTTGCAGCACGGCTAAACCTACAACGACGAAAAAGATGAACCTACTACTGCTACTACTACTACTACTACTACTACTGCTACTACGACTGCCACTGCCACTGCCACTGCCACTACTACTACTACTCCTCCTCCTCCTGCTGCTACTACTACTACTACTACTACTACTACTACTGCCACTACTACTCCTACTCCTACTCCTACTCCTACTCCTACTCCTACTCCTACTCCTACTCCAACTCCTAGTCCTACTACTACTACTACTA